AGAACTTGTCCATTTACCGGTAGCTTGCACTATTTAAGCAGCAGTAGTGATTAAAAATAATATAAACATAGGCCGCAGCTGAAGCTAGTCAGCCGGCCTATAAAAAAAGCGTTGTACCTTGTGTGCTTTGGTGGTGCATGTGGATCGATCTTCTATCTCCCAAGCTTTTTGGTTTACCATAACTATTCAAGCAGTACTGACTCCACATTGCACAGTACAGTACTCCCCCCGTTCCTAAATGTAAGTCTTTGTAGAGATTCCACTAGGTGGACTACATACGGAGCAAAATGAATGAATCCACGCTTAAAATGCATCTATATACATCCGTATGTAGTTTATAGTGAAATCTCTACAAAGACTTATATTTAGGAACGGAGGGAGTACGTTTCATGCATGCCCTCGGATGTAAGCTTAATGCTGAGCAAAACAGCGTATGATCTAATCCAACCCATAACGTACAGTGGCATGAAAACAGAGCTGCTCCATCCTGCTCCTGCCTGCCATGAACTACTGGCTCGTGCAAGCGAGGCGGCAATGAAGCTATGGAGGACACCAAGTACTAGTAGTACTTGGTTTAAGCGAATTTGTCAAGGGTAGTGTAGGCATGCATGTGCGTCCACACAGCCAAGCCAAGTAGCAGCGATGCCGTAGTACGTGCTATGTTAAACTTGTTTGCGTCTCACGGGACGGCCGGGCAGAGAAGAGGAGATCCGCGCTAGGATCCAGGCGCTAGAGACGGATGCTTAGCGGCGCTACAACTAGCTAGCCGTGTGTTACTAGTACTACTAACCACGGCAGAGAGAGAGAGAGAGAGAGAGAGAGAGAGAGAGAGAGAGAGAGAGAGAGGATTAATGAAGTGGGAAGGGGTCGGGTTGGGTGGTTCCTCCGTCCCTCCGGCCGACGACGACCCAACCCAAACCCAACCAAAAGCAGGTGAACGGAGAGGAGAGCGTCCGGTCCGGGGCCCGCCCACATGGCGCCGTTTCCCATGCAAACTTTTGTCTCCTCTCTGAGCTGCCAGAGTAGTAGTAGTAGTACCACACCACGCGCCTCCCATACAAACACGGACAAAGAGGAACGAAGCGGGAAATGTTTTCGTTTCCTCTAGGATGAAAAATAGTAGACGGATTGTTTTGCGGGCATGGACCGGTCGGGTACGCGTCTGTGACCCTGCGTGTCTGCGTTGGCAAAGCGTGTCGACCGGGAGAAAACCAGCGGAGCAGAGGCAGAGCAGGGCGCACCGGCAGGCACCATGCATTGCATGGTCAAACACTCCAAGGTCAGCTCTCCACTGCACGTCTAGGCGTCTACTAGCTCGTACTACCACGTCCTAGCCAGCTGTTGTTGGAAAGAAATGAAAAAATAGCTTTTCCTAGGGATAGAGAGAAAATATAGCTACATTTTTCCGAGACAAAAAATATATAGCTGCATTGTGCAAAGAGATGCCGCCACGTAACTTATTTATTTGTTTTGGCAGCCAAGGAAACTGGAAGGAAAGCATAAAAGCAAAAAAAATGTTTAAAGCTGCACACAAAATAGATGAGAAGGCGAAAGAAGCCGAAACAAAACCACAAAAACGAGCACCTTAATTAAACCGCCCACCGTGCCCATCACCGGTGGGAGTGGCCTGTGCGGTCTTTTTTTTTTTTTGAGAAAACTTTCGGTTTCAATCATGACAATACAACAAACAACGTAAATAATAAAAATTGCATCCAGATCCATAGACCATCTAGCGACGACTATAAGCACTTAACCGAGTTGAAGGCGCGCCGCCGTCATCGCCCCTCCTCATCGGAGTCAGGCGAAACTTGTTGTAGTAGATAGTCGGACATGCGTTGGCTAAGGCCCCACTGGACCATCGCAGCAGAACAACACCCGCCGCCAATGAAGAGTAACGTAGATTGGAAGGATCCAACCTGAAGAAACACAAATATAGACAAAACTACGACCAGATCCGAACAAATCCACCAAGGGCAGATCCGTCGGAGACACACCTCCATACGCCACCAACGATGCTAGACACATCAACGGGACATGGTCTAGGCGGGAAGAATATTATTTCATCTGCAGGGAGCCGCCAACGTCTCGTCTTCTTGAGTAGGACACAAACTCTAACAAAACTTGAAGGAGCATATAAAAACAGAGCCCTCCCGCCGGCAAGGGCCGGCAGGATCCATCACGCTGCCATGGCCTTGAGGCAGATGAAGCGGGCCGGCGGGAGGCAGAGAAACCCTAAACTTTTCTTGGGGAGGCAGCGACTACATGTTAATCAGATATAGTAGATGCGACTACAAAAGTGTTTGTGGTTAAAGATAAAACCCTAGATTGGTTGGAGGTTCGATGGCTTTTCAAGGCTTATTAAGGGTTGGCCCTGTGCAGTCATGGCACCTCTACCTCATAATAATTTGCAAAACAAGGGTGCAATTATTTGGCAGGGACATATAAAGAAATATGTTTTGAACTAAGACCCATATGAACCCAATAATGAAACTACACAAAGAATAAAATATGTATGTTGCAAAAATTTATTTTAAAATAGATTATATAGAGGACGAGTAGAAACACACGTATGAGTGCAGCGATTCAGTGCCCAGGCTCATCTGCACCGATCAGGAAATAATTCAAAAAATTCTGATTTTTTTTGTATGGTAATAATTTATTGCGTGAGGTCCGCTCCAATTTTCATCATTTAGATATCTGAGTAGCTCTCAGCAACAAAGACAAATCGGGTCAGAATAGTAAAGAAACAGTAAACCTTTTTACTGACCCTAAATTTCTCTAGCTGCTCAGATGTCCAGATGATCTGAAAATTGGAGCGGACCTCACACATCGAATTATCTATCTTGAAAAAAGTTGGATTTTTTTAAAAAATCTAGCATTTGTTTTGATTTTTTCTGTCCCAAAACAGGTTTATAAATGTTTTCCAATATAATTTACAAATGTTTTGTATAAACTTATAAATAACTTGCATTGTACATTTGTAAACATTCAGTAAATTGTTAGTTTATAAATAGATCACAAATAATCATACATATATAATATATATCTAATCAAACTTCACCTGTATGCGAGTCTTCACTTTTTTTTTTACAGTTTTTGGAACCTACAAAACAATACGTGAAATTTTTATTGGTTTACATGGACATGATCATGAGGTCAGAAAATTTATTCTTCGAGCAGCAAAAAAAAATTTATCGCGCCAAAATGAAGGATACCATGAGCGTTGTCCACTATCCTACACTTACTCCGTATCACAGGCTCATGATAGTATATGTTGAGTGAGCTTCCTTTTATTTTACTTTTTAAATGATATGCCAGACAATAAGCTTGGCGACTGCGACGACACGCTGCAGGCAGATGGTTGCCCTCACAAACATGTCTCTCAATCTTGATTATTATTCTACACATTTGTTTTTGTTTTGATTCATGAACCAAACGTTAAGAGCACCTGGACATGAACCTATAGATTATTGTATTATCATTAGTCCTTGGCCTTCAGATGCGTTTCAGAGTTTGTCGGTCTATTTAATTCAGAATACAATGTACCACTAACATGGGCATTACAATATCTCTAGACAAGTAGACATCTGTCGTAACCAAATGATAGCCTGAATTAGATATTGCAGCCACCGTTTCACGACTGCAACCTTGTAAAATATTACAGCCATGAACAAGAAGTATGAGCACCTGAATTCAGATAACATGTGCAATTTTCAAAAATACAACTAGTAAAAATATTATAAACAAAGATTAACCACCATTAATTATAGACAGCCCTGCGGTGCAAGTCACCATAATTTTGGGGGCATTTATTGTGCATGGGATCTAATTCATCCAGCAGACAAACCAGTGATGACCTAATGATGCACTGTCCTTGTAATTAACCCGGTCAAAATTGCCAAGTAAGAAAATTTTGAAAAGTATGACTTGGGTGTTTTGGAGGGAAGAGCGCAGGAAGGTACCCATGTTCAAAAATACTGCTCATTTGCTCCACCTTAATTGTCTTAATTAATAACAGCACGTCCATGGCTTGTGCTGTAAAAATGAAGATGTGCCCAACTTCGTATTACCTGTATCTAAGGTTTTTCTGCTTCACAAAGCGATATATAAATTCAGGCCGTGTAGGCCTCCACCGGCGCAAAACAAGCAATGTGCAAATTAAGGTAACTTTTACACAAGAGGCACAAAAATAGCAAAACACATTTTCCCCTTTTTTTTTGTTCTGGTGCACATTTTTCATGGTACGGTCATCATGGTCGTCGATGAGGCGGGGGAGTCTATGCCGTCTTGTTCATGTAGATCGCCGGCTTTATTAGATCCGGCGGTTTTGTGTCTCGTGCTCCGGCCAATTTTGATGCCGGTGGGGCGGTAATAGTAGCGTCGATTTTTAGGGCCGGTCAATAGTTCTAATGTCGATGAAACCAAATACGGATCCCACTTTCGCCAGAAAAAAATAGTTGAACTTTTTAAGAACTTTTCACGAAAGAATGCATAAATTCAGGTGTAGCCTCCACCATCACGAACAAATATAAGTACTTTTCATTTTTTGCGGTCACAAATATATAATTTCAGGTACCTTTTTCCTCCGTGCCAACTCGTCGTACACAAGAGACAGAAAAGTGGTTGGCCCCTCCCTCCCCCTCTCTCTCATGCATAGATTTTTTTTCTCTCTCTGCCTCATGGTTCCACAGATGGCAGGTTATCAGAGGCTGATCACACATTCCATAAACATTTGCTCCATAATTTCCTCCCCTCCTCCCCAACCTTTCCATACATCACCCCAACCTTCCTTCCTCCCCAAAACCTCACACAGATCCTTCCCTCTCTCCTATATATACATTTCTCTCTCCCATCAAAGCTCCCTCCCCTTCTCCGCCATCTCCCCCATCACCAGCAGCCCTCTCCGCCTCCTCCCCCGAGCAGCAGTCGTCCACGGCCAGAGACCAAGGCGGGCGCAGTGTCTTTGACGGAGAGCTAGGAGGTGAAGGATCGACGAAGCGATGGCAATGGAGCCGCTCCCGCTGGGCTTCGGCGACGCCATGGACACCACCCTCTTCTCCACCCTCTGGTCCTTCCAGGAGGAGCTGCAGCCCAAAGAGGTGAGAATTCAGTTAACCCGCAGTTCTTTGCCTGTATTTTTGTTCCGCCTTCGTCCCCGACTCCGGCGGCCAAGAACCCCGCGCCCTCCTCGCCGCCGCATTTCTTGACCGGCCGCCGGCAATGCCCGCCGCGTGTACCGCTCCGGGGATGAGACGGGCCCCGCCTTGGGTTGCGCGCGTGTCTTGTCGTGGTCAAGAAGGGTTAGGCAGGCGACGAATTCGCCCGGGGCTCGAGAAGCCTTGGCGTGCCGGAATTTCCCACCCCCCTCCCTCTGCATTTTCCATGCTCCGATCCATGTGGAAAATTATCTTAACTTGCTCGAGTAGAAGACTTACTACTGACTGACTTTCTCGTTGGGTTTGGTCCGGTTCGGCCCGCCTTTTCCCCGCCCCCTTTCTCTTTTCAACAAAAGTTCGGCACTGTTGTGGGATGCTCCGCGCAATCATGCTGCTGCCCGGCGCTGGGTCCCGAGACGGAGAAAGGGAGATGGATTTTTTTACCGCTGGTATCATGCTTAGATTATTATTGTTTTCACCTTTGATCTTTGACGAGCCCAAAGCCAAAGGTAGCCGGGCATGGATGCCTCCACTAGCGGCTGTTGCATGGTGCAATCATTTGCTGGGGGGAAGGGAAGGGAAGGGAATCGAAATCATTCGCCTCTCCGAGGATTGGTTTTGGATCGTGCGTGCGTGCGTGCATGCCATCGCCTTGTGCTTGGTGAATCAAGGCCCCATCATCGCCTTGTTCCTCGGATCGAATCATTGACAGATTCCCCGTCCGATTTTTTAGATTCTATATAGACTATGGTTGGTGCGGAAATTGTGGTGTTTGAGGTTGATTTTTTGCGGGAGGAATGGAAATGTTGATTTCGGTTGTGGGATTTGGTTTGCAGAGCGTGGAGGAGCTGAAGCAGAGCTTGCTGGCGGCGACCATGGAGCTGGAGGTGTCCAAGGAGGAGCTGCGGAGGAAGGAGCAGAGCATCGCCAAGCTCGCCGACCTCGTGCGCCAGGTGGCCAAGGAGCGCGACGAGGCGAGGGACCAGGTGCAGCAGCTGCTCCTCGCCTCGGCCAAGCAGGCCGCGCCGCCGGTGCACCAGCCTGCGCCCGCGCTCGGCACGTCGAGCGTCACCGACTCGGACTGCAGCCTCGTGTCGTCCCCCGTGGACCCCTTCTTCGACCCCGTCACCTCCTCCGACCGGCGCCGCTGCGGCGGCGGCGGCAAGCTCGGCGCCGCCAGCCCGCCCCCGCCGGCCAAGCAGCAGCAGCAGCAGATGTGCGGCGCCGACGCCGTGCTCGAGATGCTCGCCGCCAAGAAGCCGCTGCCGCCGAGGGGCCGGCTGCTGCAGTCCGTCATGGAGGCGGGGCCCCTGCTGCAGAACCTGCTCGTCGCCGGGCCGCTCCCGCGCTGGCGCAACCCGCCGCCCGTGCACGCCCTCGACACGCTCCCGGTCGGCGGCGGCGGAGTCTACATGAACACGACGCCACTCCACGCCGCCAACGCCGGCGCGGCGCTCGGCTACGGCCCCAACGGCAACAACGCATGCATGAAGCGGCCGATGGCGGCGATGCCCGCCATGCCCATGGCCGCCACGAGCTGCTCGCCGGGCTTCGCCCCCAAGCGGCACCGGCTGCATTGACAGACCAGCGCCCGCGCCTCGTCGTCCACCAGCGACCACCGACCCCTCGCCGCCGGCCCGGCGGTTGGCTGCCATGTCACACCTGTCAGTGACACGGTAGCGCTAGTTGCTGATTGCATTATAGTAGTGTCATAGAAGCAGAGTATAGTAGCAGAGTTCATCAGTGCTTAATCCTGGTGTAAATAGGAAGGTTAATCTCACTTTTTTTCCCACTTCTTCTTGCTTCCATTTCTAAAATTTTCGTCTGGTGCTTGTGAGAGTCTTAGTGAGAGAGAGAGAGATTGTTCATATCTTTGCATGCATGGTAGCCAAATTGCCAATAGTCCTTTTGTTTTGTGCTGAGAACTCTAGGTTGCACTGACTTCAGGCATGCCCTTGGCTTGAGTCAATTTACATTTATCCTGCCTATAGTTTGTAGCTTGGTTTTGGTATATGATTTTCCCCCACAGATTAATGCTTGCCTTTTTTTTTGTGTGTCTCAGAGGAGGGTAAAAATAATACTGTATTTTTGCGATATTACACCTCCTAGATTAACCTGTCCAGTGTTCGAAGCAGAGTAGCAATTCCCATTTTCTGGTTAATCCTGACAAAATTTGGAACAGAAAAACGACTTTGAACTTCAGAGATATCAACAACCATACTACTACTAAAGATTCAAAACAAAAGATCCCCAGGAAAGTGCAGGGCCATCTCTGAATCCTAGCTTTGTTGATCAGGAAATCCCTGGTAGTACTATTTGACAAAAGACAAACACAGTTGC